CCCTCAACAGGTACAGCTCGGCGTGGGACCTGCAGAGCCTCCCAGTGTGGGGCAACCGGGACTGGTACAGCGGCGGGGGTTACGTCATACACCTGAGAGGACCCACCGACGAGGTCCTACAGAATTTTAAGTTCCTCGAATCCAACAAATGGATCGACGCGAGCACGAGGGCGGTTCTCATTGAGTTCTCGTCGTATAATTCTCAGGTGAGGGGATTGGTGGTGGTGGTGGGGTTGGTGGAGAGGTTGCGGTGGGGGGGTGGTTGGGTTAGTATGGGGATTGGTATTGATGGTGGGGTTGGTGGGGGACTGGGGGTAAGTAGGGGGATTGGTGATTTGTGGGGGGTTGTGGTGGGGGGTTGTGGAGGGGGGATTGGTGCTGTGTTGGGGTTAGTAGGGGGATTTGGTATTGGTGGTGGGGGTTGGTGGGGGACTGGGGTTAGTAGGGGGATTGGTGGAGATGTGGGGTTGTGGTGGGATTGGTGGGGGGTTGTGGAGGGGATTGGTGGAGATGTGTGGGGGGTTCTCGTGGGGATTGGTGGTTGTGGAGGGGGGATTAGTGGAGATATGTGGGGCTTGTGGTGTTTTGTTTGATAGGGGGTTGGATTAGTGGGGGGGGGGATTCTGGAGGGATTGGTAGGAATGTGTGGGGGGTTGTAGAATTGGGGAGATATGTGTGGGGGGCGGTGGGGCATTATGGTGGATATTTTTAGTGGGGGAATTGAGGTTTCGTCTTGCAATGCTCTCAGGTGGGGAATTGGGCTTGGGGTTGGTGAAGATATATAGGGGGGAATTGTGGGTATTATGGTGGAGATTTTGGTGGGGGATTGAGTCTCTCCTTGCCGTTCTCAGGTGGGGGACTGTGGTGAAGATTATTTTTAGGGATTTATGGATATGGGTGGAGATTGGTACTGATAATTTTCTGCTCCTCTCAGGTGAACCTCTTTGGGACCTCGATCATCATGGCGGAATTCACACCTGGAGGAGGGATCTCGCCGCATTTCAGGTGAGGTTGAGAATAGCGGGGAGTTGGAGGTCTCTCTCTCTCTCTCTCTCTCCTCTCTCTCTCTCTCTCTCTCTCTCTCTCTCTCTCTCTCTCTCTCTTCTCTCTCTCTCTCTCTCTCTCTCTCTCTCTCTCTCTCTCTCTCTCTCTCTCTCTCTTCTATCTCCTTCGCTTACCCACTCCCTTTCTATTTCATGCTCCTTCCCCTTTTCCCTTCCTTTCCCCTTTCATCCCTTCGTGTGCTGTGTGATGCAGCGGTAGCGTTCTCGTCTAGCAATCTTGCAGACCCGCGTTCGATCCCGCGCGCTGCCAGTGGACGGTAACCCCGGCCAATGCTCGCACACAGGGGGAAATTAAGAAGTAAAAAATAAATCAGCATTTCACAAGAGATATCTATTGTAACAAATAGAGTTAAACTAAGTTATATTTAAAATTAATAACAATAGAGTTAAATTAAGTTATATTTAAAATTGAAACAAATAGAGTTAAACTAAGTTATATAAATAACCATCCTCCTCCCCCCGCAGATTCGAAGGCATCCGCTTACTCCAGCACCACGACAACTTCGGCTTCTTCATCTACGCCTGCGAGGCCGCCTTCGTGCTCTTCGTCCTGTACTTCACGGGGAGGGAGGCGCGTCTGATGTACCGCATGAGGATGGAATACTTCAAGAACTACTGGTCGTATGCCGAGATCGCCATCATCTTCGCTTGCTATTCGGCCATGGCGGTGTATGGGCTGAGGTGAGTGGAGGGCCGGGGAGGGTGATGAGTAATGATGATAATGATGTTGATTGTTTTTGATGATCATTATTGTCGTTGTTGCCATTATTATCCATATTATTGTCATCATCAGTATCATTGTCATTGTTGTGATTGTCATTATTATTATCATCATTATCATTACTATTACTTTTAGCTAGTTTGATGATGATGATGATAATGATGGTGGCGACGACGACAACGATGATGATAATGACGGCAATTATTAACAGCAACAGTCATAATACCAATAACAAAAATACCAGAAACATTAAACACCTACTCTAATAAAAAATAAAAAAAACTCCACCCCCTCCCCTTCCCCCCTCCCCATAGTACTACGCCCAACCTACAAAGTGCTCCAAGTGTTCCACAAAGAACGTACGAACGGCCTACGTCGCCTGCAATACGATCACGCCTACTCTAGGAACGAACTCCTCAACTGGACACTTGGGCTTCGTCCTGAACAAATAGTTCGGTAGGAAAACAGAACATTCCCAATAGTTCATTCAAAGCTGTGAGGATACTCAAGCGGATAGAGGATCAAGTTCGATTGGATAATTTAGAGTAGCGTGGGTGGTTTTATTTTCAGTTGTACTGTTGAAATTGTTATGTACTTTTACTCTCGTTGGTTGTTGTACTTAATACCATCAAATCTCCAGCCAACTATCAAAATCCAGAAAAGCCAAACACAAAAAAACCCACTATAACAGTGAAAAAAAACTACCAACAACCAAAAAAATATAGTAATAATAACAAAACCCACTGTTCATTATTAAGTGAAACAGGCATCTACCTCACAACAAGGGAAAAAAAAAAATAATTCACAATAAAATCAAATAAAAATATCAGATACCAATATCATACTCAACAAACAACTAATAAAAATCAATACTACAAAAATAATGAGCTCAGTGCACTTCCTGCCAGCTGTCTAATACGAATCATCACTCACACTGATAAAGATCCCAACAACTCCCTGCCATAAAATAAGTAGACCCTACACCTGCTAAAAAAAATAAAAACCCTAACCAACCGCCCCAAGCTACTCCAGGACCATACTATAGCAGCTCTCTCTCAAAACCCAACCTAAGCGCACCCAACGCATAACACCTCACTCGGCTAAACTCAGCGCATAAAAGAAAAAACAATACGCTAATAGACATCTCAGCTATACATTTTAATTATTGTTTTATTATATTACATAATATTGGTAAAATAAGTGAGTAGTAATGTATCACTTAGTTTAATATCATTACGCTCTATTGGCTGTGTACTAGAACGTCTCAATGGCAGTGTAATAAATCATAGAGCATCATCGCGGTACTTTGTTTACTCGCGCCTTACTCTTAGTTTTATATTCATTCACTCATACCTGATACATTGTATTCGTTCAAAATATCTGCGTGTACCATGTTACCCTCTCATTATAACCAAGTAGTATCTACAAGCGATCATTAGTATGATAAGGATAATCCTAAATTTCTTTCAATGTGTATAATGTATATGTATCTCTAGTATGTCCTTAATTAAAGGCCCAGGTGTCTTCAATTTGTAAGCGTGACAATACTTTACATTAGATGAGTTGTGCAGAGTGTGTGAAATTTAGCCACTCAGCGGCCAACTCTGAATTTATGCCCCAAAAGCTCAAATGACTTATACCGAAAGAGAAGAACATATAGTAGTACTGGAGAAAATATTAGAGAGCTAGGCAGAGAATTAATAGAATAAGTGTACGGCAGCACCACTAAGAGATATATATTGCAAATAAACACTTTATTATATGTATGCACCCATGAAGAACCAACTGCCTCACTTCGGCTCCCCCCTCTGCACGCTAATATATTAAATACACAGTGTAAGTACAAACCTTTTTTTATCACAAGTTACTTTACGCACCAACCCTATATCTTCACTCGTCAAGTAACTCTTCTGCTCCCTACCTGTAACAGTCAGCAAAATAAGCCGTGTTTCTCCGCACTTTGAATTAAACAATGCTGGGATGATCTGAGCGGTTTCCTCATGGCCTTCTTCCTCTGCTTCTTCTCCTTCGTGGCGATGTTCTTCCTGCTTCTCAACAAGTTCATGGAAGGATTCTACAACTTCGTTACCGCGGTGGAAACGTGCTTCAGTATGATGCTCGGTAAGTGGCCCTCTTTGCGGTGCTTGATGAGTGGCCTCGCGTTGGTTTTCGAAAGAGGGGCGTGGTGAAGACAAGAGAGATTTACGAGCTCGAAGGTCACATAGCACTATGGTAAAATATTGTAATGAAAGGGTCAAAGGTACTCAAGTTTCAACGGTCGTATGGTAAGATAGTATGGTAGTGAAAGGGTTAGAAAGAGGGGTAATTATCGAGAGGAAAGGTTCATTGGCCAGTGATAAGTAGAGGCGGGATATTGCACTTAATCTACAACGCAATTTTTTGATGTAGAAGATCATTTCAAAGATGAATAAGAAGTCCATCGATATTTTTTTGAATTTTGATTGTGTTTGGTAGTTGTCGTGGTCTAATTCTAGAAGATAAAATCTTGATTATAACAGTAAAACATCTTCAATGATAGTACTCTTTAAATGCCATTCCTTTGATGCCGTCTATGCAGCTGTGAACCAAATCGGTGGCCTTGACATGTACATTATTATATAATTTCATCCTTTTCTCTTTTCGGGCATTGTCTTTTCTTTTCATATTTGCCGGTCATGCATAAAGTTGGTGTTTTCTTCATATATAGCCACTTTACTGAAAAAAGAGAAAAACTAGGAAAGCAATATGAGGGAAAAAAAAAAAAAAAAAAAAAAAAAAAAAAAAAAAAAAATATATGAATATATATATATATATAATTATATTTATAAAATATATATATATATAATATATATNAAGACAGACAAAAGAAAAAGGACACCAAAGACAGACAAAAGAAAAAGACACCAAGACAGACAAAAGAAAAAGACACCAAGAAGACAAAAGAAAACCAAGACAGACAAAAAGAAAAAGACACCAAGACAAACAAAAGAAAAAGACACCAAGACAGACAAAAGAAAAATACACCAAGACAGATAAAAGAAAAAGACACCAAGACAGATAAAAGAAAAAGACACCAAGACAGACAAAAGAAAAGACACCAAGACAAAAAGAAAAAGACACAAAGACAGACAAAGAAAAGACACCAGACAGACAAAGAAAAAGACACCAAGACAGACAAAAGAAAAAGACCAAGACAGACAAAAGAAAAAGACACCAAAGAAGAAAAGACACCAAGACAGAAAAGAAAAAGACACCAAGACAGAAAAAAGAAAAAGACACCAAGACAGACAAAAGAAAAGACAACAAGACAGACAAAAGAAAAAAGACCAAGACAGACAAAAGAAAAAAGACACCAAGACAGACAAAAGAAAAGACACCAAGACAGACAAAAAGAAAAAGACAAGACAGACAAAAGAAAAAGACACCAAGACAGACAAAAGAAAGAAAAGACACCAAGAGACAAAAGAAAAAGACAAAGAGAAGACAAAAGAAAGACACCAAGACAGACAAAGAAAAAGACACCAAGACAGACAAAAGAAAAAGACACCAAGACAGACAAAAGAAAAAAGACACCAAGACAGACAAAAGAAAAAGACACCAAGACAGACAAAGAAAAGACAACAAAACAGACAAAAGAAAAGACAAGAAAGAAAAAAAAAAAGACAACCAAGACAGACAAAAGGAAAAGACACCAGACAGACAAAAGAAAAGACACAAGAAGACAAAGAAAAAGACACCAAGACAGACAAAAGAAAAGACACCAAGACAGACAAAAGAAAAAGACACCAAGACAGACAAAAGAAAAAGACACCAAGGACAAAAGAAAAAGACACCAAGACAGATAAAAGAAAAAGACACAAGACAGACAAAAGAAAAAAGACACCAGACAGACAAAAGAAAAAGACACCAAGACAGACAAAAGAAAAAAGACACCAAGACAGACAAAAGAAAAAGACACCAAGACAGACAAAAGAAAAAGAAACAGACAAAAGAAAAAGACACCAAGACAGACAAAAGAAAAGACACCAAGACAGACAAAGAAAAGACACCAAGACAGACAAAAGAAAAAGACACCAAGACAGACAAAAGAAAAAAAGACAGACAAAAGAAAAGACACCAAGACAGATAAAAGAAAAAGACACCAAGACAGACAAAAGAAAAAGACACCAAGACAGACAAAAGAAAAAACACCACAGACAAAGAAAAAGACACAAGACAGAAAAAAGACACCAAGACAGACAAAAGAAAAAGACACCAAGACAGACAAAAGAAAAAGACACAAGACACACAAAGAAAAAGACACCAAGACAGACAAAAAAAAGACACCAAGACAGACAAAAGAAAAAGACACCAAGAAGACAAAGAAAAACACCAAGACAGATAAAAGAAAAGACACAAGACAGACAAAAGAAAAAGACACCAAGACAGAAAAAGGAAAAGACACAAGACAGACAAAAGAAAAAGACACCAAGACAGACAAAAGAAAAAGACACCAAGACAGACAAAAAGAAAAAGACACAAGACAGACAAAAGAAAAAGACACCAAGACAGACAAAAGAAAAAGACACCAAGACAGACAAAAGAAAAAGACACCAAGACAGACAAAAGAAAAGACACCAAGACAGACAAAAGAAAAGACCAAGACAGAGAAAAGAAAAAGACACCAAGAAAGACAAAAGAAAAAAGACACCAAGACAGACAAAAGAAAAAAGACCACAGACAAAGACAAGACAGACAAAAGAAAAAAGACACCAAGACAGACAAAAGAAAAGACACCAAGACAGACAAAAGAAAAAGACACCAAGACAGACAAAGAAAAAGACACCAAGGACAGACAAAAGAAAAAGACACCAAGACAGACAAAAGAAAAAGACACAGACAGACAAGAAAAAGACACCAAGACAGACAAAAGAAAAAGAAGACAGACAAAGAAAAAGAGAAGACAAAAGAAAAGGACCAAGACAGAGAAAGAAAAAGACACCAAGAAGACAAAAGAAAAAGACACCAAGACAGACAAAAGAAAAAGACGTCAAGACAGACAAAAGAAAAGGAAGACAGACAAAAGAAAAAGACACCAAGACAGACAAAAAGAGACACCAAGACAGACAAAAGAAAAAGACACCAAGACAGACAAAAGAAAAAGACACAAGACACAAAGAAAAGAAAGACAGACAAAAGAAAAAGACACCAAGACAGACAAAAGAAAAAGACACCAAGACAGACAAAAGAAAAGGACAAGACAGAGAAAAGAAAAGACACCAAGAAAGACAAAAGAAAAAGACACCAAGACAGACAAAAGAAAAAGACGTCAAGACAGACAAAAGAAAAGGAAGACAGAGAAAAGAAACAGACACCAAGACAGACAAAAGAAAAAGACACCAAGACAGACAAAAGAAAAAGACACCAAGAATGACAAAAGAAAAAAAGTCAAGACAGACAAAAGAAAAAGACGTCAAGACAGACAAAAGAAAAAGACACAAAGACATACAAAAGAAAAAGATGCTAAGACAGACAAAAAGAAAAAAGACACCAAGACAGACAAAAGAAAAAGACACCAAGACAGACAAAAGAAAAAGATGCCAAGACAGACAAAAGAAAAAGACACCAAGAAAGACAAAAGAAAAGACACCAAGACAGACAAAAGAAAAAGACGTCAAGACAGACAAAAGAAAAGGATGCTATGACAGAGAAAAGAAACAGAGACAGACAAAAGAAAAAAAACAAGACAGACAAAAGAAAAAGACACCAAGAATGACAAAGAAAAAAAGTCAAGACAGACAAAAGAAAAGACGTCAAGACAGACAAAAGAAAAGACACAAAGACATACAAAAGAAAAAGATGCCAAGACAGACAAAAGAAAAAGTTGCCAAGACAGATAAAAGAAAAAGACACCAAGACAGACAAAAGAAAAAGATACCAAGAATGACAAAAGAAAAAAACGTCAAGACAGACAAAAGAAAAAGACGTCAGACAGACAAAAGAAAATGTTGCCAAGACAGACAAAAGAAAAAGACACCAAGACAGACAAGAAAAAGACATCAAGACAGACAAAAGAAAAAGACACCAAGACAGACAAAAGAAAAAGACACCAAGAATGACAAAAGAAAAAAACGTCAAGACAGACAAGAAAAAGACGTCAAGACAGACAAAAGAAAATGTTGCCAAGACAGACAAAAGAAAAAGACACCATGACAGACAAAAGAAAAAACAAGACAGAAAAGAAAAAGACACCAAGAATGACAAAAGAAAAAGACACCAAGAATGACAAAAGAAAAAGTCGTCAAGACAGACAAAAGAAAAAGACACCAAGACAGACAAAAGAAAAAGACACCAAGACAGACAAAAGAAAAAGACACCAAGAAAGACAAACGAAAAAAAAACGTCAAGACAGACAAAAGAAAAAGACGTCAAGACAGACAAAAGAAAAAGACACCAGGACAGACAAAAAGAAAAAGATGACAAGACAGACAAATGAAAAAGACACCAAGACAAACAGACAGAAATAGATTGTGAGATTTACAGACAACCATAAATATATGTTTATATACCGCTGGAGATCTAAGAAAAATAAGTGTGTGGATTACATTGAAAGTATCTGACAAGATATTAAATTACTTGATCTAGTGCACAATGAAAGCAAAATTGGAGTATCATGTATATCTCATCTACTAAAGACATTTCTGCTCTGAGTAGTGTAATTAGTTCAAGATTCTTTATATTATCATGACATAGGCTCATCACAGTCTTATAAACTTCAGAAATTCTTTCTCTAAAACAATGATTTCATGTCATCTCATTTTCATTCCTGTGAACAGTCAACTTGTGTAAATACTATAATTAATTGCTCAGCTAATTACCTAGATTTTTTTCTAGTTCAGACATTTTTTTTTCCTCACAAAAAAGTGTTTTTTCTTGGCTTTTACAACTGGAATTTTAATTTCAGTATTCTTAGTTTTCTTTTTTAAGTATGCCTTGGTAAGTTTGATTTTATCACATCAATTCCACATCAATATTTTTCTTCTTCTCCAAGCCACTAATACTAGTTTGCCCATAATGCAAAGGTAAAGCATACCAGCAAGTGCATAGATGAATGTGTATATTGCTGTTTCTTATGTCATAAAGGCCCATACCATATTCAGGTGCTCTATGATAACAAAGTCCATGAAACACTTAAAAACTCAGGCAGTTTCTACAGAGTAATATGCAAACATCATGATATACTGTAATACACACTATATCTTTCTCTTTCTACACCCATGAGATTTCTTGTATCTTAAACATGTTTCCACAATCCTAACTTTCCTTCTTCCAAAAATACAGGCAGAATACTTGATATACTTAAAATACACTTCCCAAGACTGTGTTAAGTCATCCCCCTAAAGGACACAGTGACAACCACTAGTACTTAAGGGGATGAGGTTATGTTTTCTAAGCATATTTATATATTATAAAGCCTTAAAATCAAAGCTTACATTTACAATATTAAAGATTTCTCTGGCATTCGGCACATTTTATTACCTAGAGAATATAGATACTGGGACTTTTTTTCCTCTGAAATAAAAAAAGCACCTATTCAATTAATATATCATAGAGATCAACTATTGCAAACAGAAAAATGGAAGGGAAGTATTTTTTCAGAGACAAAGGAGTTTATATACAATCCTTTAAACATGATTATATTTCCTTCTACTATATATAATGATATGTATTTTCCTACAAAATAATGTTGAAGAATAAAATTAGATTAATGAAACTCTCCTAATTGTGAATCTCTCTAAGCAATGATATTTTGTAAGTAAAATCAACATCATGGAATAATAATTTAAAGAGGAATGTACTTATGAAAGAAAATATAGTTGGAAAATAAGAGATTGTCAAGAGATTGCTACCACTAGAAGATATGCTACTGAGACTTAATAGTGCAAGGATATGGGTTGTGTAAGTTACATGCTAGAAGACAAAATTGGATTGTCTGCATTGTGGGACATGAGTTCCCCATTTCAGTGTGAAATGTTGACATTTGACCATATCACTTTATGTTCTTGATATGTTTATTAACTACTTTTGGGAAGTGAAGAGTACTAGTGGTTTGCAATAAACAGAAGTTAACATTTCTTAAATGAATTTATCCTATGAATCTAATGCCTATCTTCAATGACAGCATAACTCTGAATTTCCATGACATCTCATAAAGTCTTAGTTAATCCCTTTATAC